ACTTTGCATCTACATGTCACCTCTCAACCATCCCATGTTAATCTACTCTTTCGAAGTCCAGCTCTCATCAAACAGCAACACCCCAGCGTTCCCAGTGCAAAGCTACTGCAGGAGGACGGAAGTTAAAGGAAAGCGAGGGGTTTCGATGGAGGAACTGCAGCAGCAGTAAAGACAAGCATACCTCTGTGGCGGATGTAGGGCTTGATCTGCCTCCAGAGTGGGCTGAGCAGGCCGGGTCTCAGTCGGCTGTAAGGCGCATTGGACACCAGGGTGGCCAGGCACTGAAACACAGAGGCGGGCCGTGAGGTCCGGGCGGGCCCGTGGCGGGTAGCGCGCAGGTGCTGTGCCCGGGAGCGGCCCGTACCTTGATGACCTGGGTGAGCGTCTGCGAGGAGGACTCGGCCAGCAGCGCCAGCAGGAGGCAGCGGTGCAGCTCGCGGAGGCCAGCTGCCAGCGTCGCAGAGAAGGGGGTGAAGGCGCGCCGCTGGGCGCTGGTGTCTTCTGCCGCCGACAGGAACTGCCGCGAGCCCTCCAGCATGGCCGACAGCACCTGCAGGGCCCCAGCACGCGCCTGAGTGCCAAGACAGAGGGAGACTGGCAACACTGGGCTGGTTTATACCCACACTAGCGGACTAGAACAATATAGAAGGCCACTTGAAAATCCACTAACTACAACACAGACAAAAGTGGATCTCCAGTTCCGTTCCCACAAGTGTTGCGCTAACTGACTTTGAAAAAAGTGCATTCTCAAATTCCTGCAATGCTGCTTACGTGCTACAGTAACAATGCAATAACCCAGTTCTACAGACCAGCCTGACCCTACTAGAGACCTCACGTGTGTCTCTGATTGGCTCAGGCAGCTGCACTGACCTTGGGGGAGGGGTCCTTGAGCACAATGGTGAGCAGAGTGAGGGAGGGGGGGCTGCCAGTCCCGGGGGCATCAGGGATGAAGGAGGACCAGTAGCCATACAGAACCTTCTTCTCCACACACTTCACTGTGGACAGGAAGCAGTGCAGTGCCCCCTGCCGGACCTTCGCCTGATACAGCCTAGAAAACGGGTGCATAGGGGACTTGGTGAGAGGTAAGGACACCTGAAGCACATACACCTCCACACTGTGCTGTAAGCCAGAAGCACAGCTGCATATCTCATGATCTGATGAAGAGATCAGTGAGGCGTCTAAGGCATCAGCCTTTCTGCACTCGTGAGGTGAACAGCTGGATACAACACCTCATTTTGCTTTGCATGCTGCCCTCTGGGTCGGAGAACTCCGAATCCGAGCTGCTGACCATCTTCTTCCAGAGGGGGTACAAGGGGCGGGCGTGGTCTTGCCCTGCATGGCGGTAGAGAGATCCAGGGTTTTTAGGAATCTGACTCCCCCAACCCAGGGGGTCTCCTCCCCCTGCGCCCTCCTTCGGAGGATCTGCCCCAGCCTCTGGAGCCTCTTCATCCCTCTTGCCCTCCAATCCCGCCTTCCGGCTCCGCCCGCGAGATTTCCTCCGTTTATTCTGCCAATGAAAATATTTAAAGCAATGAATCTTTCCCCCCTCCCCAAGGAAATACAGTGACTTGCTCAGGGAAGAGTTTATCACCCGTTATGGAAACCTCTCCCCTTCTGAAATGGCTTTTTAGTTTTACCCACTTATCGAATCCACAAAAGATACATACCCCTGTCTGTCTTGGAGTGCAATGGGTGTCCTGTGGCATTTCAGGTTTCACAGAAGAGGGGGAGCCCTCGTACTGCGGGAGGGGAGCAGGGTAGAGGACAGCTGGGATCTCCAGGGTCATCCCAGGCAGCCCAAAGAACATGTATTTCTAACAGAAGAGACACAAGGTTACTGCAGTGCTGCCATCTGAGAAGCAATTACACTGTTAATCAAAGCAGACTAGAAACATCTTCAGAAACAGCTGTATCCAGGGCATTGTGCTCCTAGATTGTAATGCAGCGCACCTGAAAACTCACACCTACACCAGCACGGCTCTACTCACTCTTGTAACAAGAGCAAGCTTGCGCACACTGAATGCAAAGCTAACTTGCTATGCCACATGCCTTTAGAGACCCATCTGTACCTTCAGTGCAGCCAGCAAAGAGCCCAGCTGTTCATCAAGCCCCAGTTTCAGTTTCCCTCCATTCAGAGAGCACTGCATGCCCTTCAGTGCATTCTGCAGCAGCTGTGAAAAGAAGAACCGAGTCCGTTGAGAAAGATGTCTCTCAC